TGGAGAACAGATTTGGAGGTGGGCAGAAAGCAGGTGAGAAGATGAATTTCCTTGACTGTATATTTATGTTCCCAAGATAGAAAGTGAGTCATTGGGACCAAGAATGTGCATTTCTCACAAGTAATTGTAGAATTGCCTTACATCCAGTAATGATAAATTTCATAGAATATGATAAATATGTGTCAAGTGGCAGTATTTACATAAAGGTAAACACACAAGTAGCAGAATCTTGCATAAAGTATAGCTTCAATTTTGGTAAAGATGACATATAAATGACTTTCCTCTCCTTGAATCTACTCACTAACAACCGTAGAGAATAGTTTGGGAGGCCAGAAGTGACAGGTGAACAAAAGTTTGTTTATTTATTTGTGTGTGTGCAGGGGCAAAGCCAAATCAGCAAAATGACTCTTGATTATGCAGAGATGGGTTAGGGGTGGGGAGAGAGGTTTGGGAGACAATGATCACAGTGCCCCCAAGTCTAGCCTCTCCTTTGGGCTCCCATGTCCAGGACTTTACCCTATTCTAAGAGGCAAGGATCCTCAAGTTCTCATCTTTTTCCTTTCCTAGAAGTTTCCAACTCTGCCTGTGAAAACCTGAATGAGATCAGTGTCCTGTAGAATGTTGGCTGTAGTGGTGAACCCTGTTCTGGTGTTTGGGGGACTCAGATAAGGTGTTTCTTGGGTAGGAGCCTGATCACCTGGTGTAGTAGACCCTGGAGGGGCCACATGGGAGGAAGCCAGCCCTCACACGAGCACTCCTGAGCAGGGTGAGGACCAGGAAGGGGAACATATGAGGGAATGTTGAGTGGACATGAAATGGACCCAGGCTTCCTGCCACTTCCCAGCTCTGGCACTCAAGACATCCTGGGCTAGTAACTGCAAGAATTGCCTGGGTAGAAGTTGAGGTGGGAGCCTAGGAGTGGTTGAGACCACGTATAGAGGAACAAGAAGGCTCCAGACACAAGTGTGAGGAAACATAGAAAAAGGAAAAACCCACCCCAGACTGAAAGAGTGAACACAACTCAAATGAAGAAAAAAAAGCATCTCTGAAGTTATTCGGGCTTGGTAGGATGACAGCTACAAAATTAAATGGAAACCTTATTTCTCCCAAGGTCTTACAACAGGTCTAAATACCATAAGGACCTCCTCTTTGAGTGATTAATACTTGCCAGAAATTCCTCAAGACTGGCTTTATTATTCCATCTAATTACTGGAGACACTTCTGCTAAACCTCACCTCAGGACAGCACCTAATCCCTGGTTAACACCTTTTTGGGACAAAGAACCCAAGTCTGAGGATGGAAGCACACACTGCAAGGTCCCAGACACAACTGACCAACATCATTGACCTAGGATGTCACCAGACCCTTCCCCAGGCTCCTCCCACTTTGCATTGGGGGCTGATAAATGGCGCTCCAGGAGCTCTCCATCCACCGAGAGACACTGACCCCTGAAGAGCCCATGGCAGGGGAGCAGGTGCTGTCCGTGGTGCTGAAACAAGGTCGCACTTGGAGCTCAAATAGCTCCCAGCTCAGCAGAAGGGCCTGACCCGGATGCTTATGTTCCACTTTAGGGCCAGGAGATCAAAGGGATGGGGATGGGTGGAGCCAGGGGAGCAGACAATCAAGAGTGAGTGGTGCTGGCCTTCTCTCTCTTCTCCACCTGCTACCTCTCCTGTTCACTCTCAGGCATTCTACCTCCTGTGGATGACCTCTGTCTGCCCCATCTGGTTGAGCCTTCTTGTTAAGGCCCTTTGCTCACTGGCCTCTGTACGGCTCCTTAAAATAGCTTACTTCATCACACACACACACACACACACACACACACACACACACCTTCTGAAAGTGAGGAGGCTAGTCTTCACATTTAACAAAGGAGAACTTAGGGTCAGGATCAGGAGTATTAGACAGCATACTTGGATCTTTTTTCCCTTTCTGTCCACATGCCTTAGTGTTTCTGGGCAGGAGGAGATATCTCCGGTCTGATGAGGAAGGTAAGTATTTCCTGGACACTTGTCTCCAGCTCCAGTTGATCCCCCTTGTGGTGGTGGTGGGCCTGCCTGATTGTCAGATGGCCTCCCCTTCCATCCAGGAGACAAATGAGCCTACCTAGCTGCCTCCTGTTTCTCAGTCAGGACTTGGGAAACAATGTGTCTGAGTGTCTTTCCCCTGATAGGTGGGGGGACCGAGATGTTCTGCCTCTGTATTGTTCCTCTGGTTCTGGGGTCCCAAGCCAATTCACCTTCCTCTTACAATGTTCCAGAATTCTCTATATATATATATATATATATATATATATAGGGGAGAGAGAGAGAGAGACAGCATGAGCATGGGAGGGTCAGAGAGAGAGGGAGATACAGACTCTGAAACAGGCTCCAGGCTCTGAGCTGGCAGTCAGCACAGAGCCCAACGTGGGGCTCGAACCCACGAACTGTGAGATCATGACCTGAGCGAAAGTCGGACGCCTAACCGACTAAGCCATCCAAGCGCCCCTGGAATTCTCTTTTGGTTCTTGCACCATTTACAGGGTTTCTAGTTGTGAGTGGAGGGAGGAGCAATGGGTTGATGATAACTTGTCTGGATTGGAAGTAGAACTATCGACTTTTAATGTTTTTAACAGATGGTTGGCTCATGTCACCCAGCTTGACATGATCACAAACAGAAGTCTGACTCAGCCGTCCCTGCTGGATGTAAGTCAGAGAGAGTTAAGCCACAGGTATTTTTTCACACCACACCAAAATCTTCCATTTGTTTTTAGGTGTCACTTTATGATTTTATGGCATTATGCTTTATCCCTGACAAGATGTTGGTGCTACTGTTGGGTTTGGGACTGTTTTATTCAAGATTATTTTTATTTTAAGTAAAATATTTGGGGACTTTTAGGAGGAAGATTACAACTTCCTGCTTACCTTCACCATCTCAACCCTGACATCTATTTTTTTTTTAAAGATTTTATTTATTTCTAGGAGAGAGAGAGAGAGAGACAGCGTGAGCAGGGGAGGGTCAGAGAGGGAGTCACAGACTGAAACAGGCTCCAGGCTCTGAGCTGGCAGTCAGCACAGAGCCAGACGAGGGGCTAGAACCCACGAACCAAGAGATCATGACCAAAGAGAAAGTCGGACGCTTAACCGACTAAGCCACCCAGGCGCCCCCCCTGACATCTATTTTTAAAGTTTATTTTGAAGGATAAGAAAGTGCCAAACAGATGATGACCTAGTGATGAGTCTTCCTGGAGGACAAATGTGGATTCATGAAGATGGTGAGGAATGCACAAACATGGGGACATTTACAGAATGGCATGAAAGATTGATGGGTTAGGATATGGAGATGCAGAAATAGACTGGGTGAGATTAAAAACAACCTGGAACTGGGGAGATGGGTGGCTCAGTCAGTTAAGTGTCTGACTTCAGCTCAGGTCATGATCTCACAGTTCGTGGGTTCGAACCCCGCATTTGGCTCTGTGCTGACAGCTCAGAGCCTGGAGCCTGCTTCGGATTCTGTGTCTCCATCTCTCTCTCTCTGCCCCTTCCTGGCTCCCACTCTGTCTCTCTCAAAAATAAAATAAACATTAAAAAAAAGTAAAACAAATATAGAGTATCAAGTTGTCTGCGAAAAGTGAGTTTGACTTCTTTGCCAATTCTGATGACTTTTATTTCCTTTTGCTATTTGATTGCTGATGCTAGGACTTCCAGCACTATGTTAAACAACAGTAGTGAGAATGGACATCCCTGTAGTGTTCCTGATCTCTATGACCCAGCAATAGCACTGCTAGGAATTTACCCAAGGGATACAGGAGTGCTGATGCATAGAGGCACATGAACACCAATGTTCATAGCAGCACTATCAACAATAGCCAAAACATGGAAAGAGCCTAAGTGTCCATCAACTGACGAATGGATCAAGAAGATGTGGTTTATCTACACAATGGAATACTCCATGGCAATGAGAAAGAATGACATCTGGCCATGTTTAGCAACGTGGATGGAACTTGGGGGTGTTATGCGGAGCGAAATAAGTCAGGCAGAGAAGGACAGATACCATATGTTTGCACATATAGGTGGATTAGGAGGAACTTAATGGAGGAGTGTGGGGGAGAAGAAAAGGGGAAAATAGTGGGGGAAAGGGAATGAGGCAAACCATGAGAGACTCTTGAATCCTGAGAACAAACTAGGGCTGATGGGGATCGGTTGGAGGGGAAGGGAGGTGATGGGCATGGAGGAGGGCACTTGTGGGGATGAGCACTGGATGTTATATGGAAACCAACTTGACAATAAAGTATTAAAAAATAAAATAAAATAAAAATGAAAATTAAAAAAGTAAAAAAATAAATAAAATGTTATAAATAAATAAATAAATACAATTACACAATGCTCTGTGTCAATTATATCTTAATAAAGCTGGAAAAAATAAACTCTAGATGCACGTGTATTACTTAATGGTAAATGTTACTGAATATTTATTAGGCAAAGAAAGCCCTCCCCGTGGATCCCCATGGTTCTCCGACTTGGCCTCCAGCGATATCCCTCTCCCCTCCCGAACCTCTCTTTCCTTCTCGCCTGCCTCCTACTAGTCCTGTTAGAGGCAAAAGCACATATTAACATTTACAGAATTTCCTAAAACTCAGAGATGACCACACTCAAAATATCTCTCCATCCCCTCAGCCCCAAAGACTAATTTACAAGCCTCTAATTTGACTTTCCAGATCAGGGGTCATGAGACCATGACCTGAGCCGAAGTCGGATGCTTAACCAACTGAGCCACCCAGGCGCCCCTACGTTGTGTAAGTTTAAAGTGTACAGTGTAATGATTTGATATATATGGTACATCCCAAAATGATTGCCACATGAGAGGGTTTTGAGTACAGAATGGGGCTAACTCATTGCTTAGGTGGTGTCCAGGACAGAACATACCCAGCCTCTAAGTGAAATGTCACTGACATCTTTCTGTTCAAGAGGGAAGGAACCAGTGCTCACCAAACTCTCACAATGCAGCAGGATTTGTACTGTGTATTTTCCATATTCACTTTTATTTAATCCTCACGGAAGCCCTTACATCCATTTTGCAAAGCAGAAAACCAAGACATGGAGGGGTAAAGTGGCTTCCTGACGTCGTACTGTTAATAAATGAAAGAGCCTGGATTCCATCCCAGGCCTCTCTGATTGCAAAGCCTTAGTTCCAACATGGCAAGAAACTCACATATAGTAGTTTATAAATTCATTACCTATGGGGCTGGTAAGTCTCCAAGAATCAGCCTTTGGGTATCCCTTCCTAGAGGATATGGACGCTCCCTCTGAGGCTGTTGCTCCAGGTGGTTCCTCACTTTGTCATGATCTCTGAGTGTTCTTCGTAGGTGTTCTTCATCTTGTGAAAGCTGATGGAAGCATAATACAGTTCCTGTTCCATCTCCAAGGCGGGGGACACCCCTGCAGAGCTTGTCTGCTCAGCAGGGAGGTCCTGCTCGGACTCCTGCTGGCAACCCTGTGTGGAAAGCAAAGAAGGGCTAAGAGCAGGGCTCTTGGGGTGCAGGGGGTGAGGGGGGAAGGCAGAGAGGGTCCATGAGGTAAATTTGATTCGACAAGACATTGTTCTTTCTTCCATTCTTTTATCAAACATTTCTTATTTAGCAAATAGAGCACTATTGATTGCTTTCAAATTTTGTTGAGAACTCACTCAGACCTATGTGGAAAATAGTTTACATAGAGAGAACCAAATTCTCAGAGAGGTTAGGTACTACCCAAGACCACACATCTGTTTATCATAAACTCAACCCTGTCATTCTGGCACAGGATACACAGGAGGGTGTTTATGAGAAGTTGACTTCTGGGTATGTCTCCTTTATTCTCACACTGTTCCCCACATACACAACACTTCTGATACCAGATGTGTGGGGTTTTCCCCGCACCAAGCAATTCTCCAACACCAGCTGGGTGGCCTGTAGTTCACTTCAATTCTGATGCTCTCTACCCAGAGGTAACGCCAGATCCCATAGATTAAGGGCTCAGCCTTACAAAGCTACCCCCAGCCCCACTTCATCTGTCAGTAGGAATTTAGGTTGTAATCTGTGCTTCTGACCAACTGGCTATGAATCAGTGGTTGCCACAGCACTCATCTTAGGTTCCATTAATTTGCTAGAGTGGCTCATAGAATGCAGGAAAACAGTTTACTGTTACCAACTTATTATAAAAGGATGTGATAAAAGACACAGATGAACATCCAAATGGAAGAGGTGCCTAGGGTGAGGTGGGGGAAACAGGCAGGAGATTCTACACCCTCTCCAAATGTATTCCTAGCATCTTGTGTTCACCAACTTGGAACTCCATACTTTTGGGTTTTTATGGAGACTTCATCATGTAGGCATGATGGATCACTAATTCCATTTTTAGTGATGGAGAATGGGGAGTGGGGATGAAAATACCAAGCTTCTAATCATGGCTTGGTCTTTCTTGTGATCAGCCCATCCAGGAACCCACCCAGAGTCACATTGTGAGAACAAAAGATGCTCCTATCTCCCAGAAAGCCTCAAGAGATTTAGAAGCATGACCGTTTTCTGCTGCAGATTAATTTCTCAAGATTTATGGCAACATTTCTCAAGAGGGTTTGCACTTCCTCTCCTCCTATTTTCTCTTGAACTTATTCCAATCAAGAAAACTTCCTCCACTGGGCAACCAGATCTGCTTTTCTCAAGATTAATTGTGACACCATGTGCTAAACTTAAATGGTCATTTCTCAGAACTGATCTTACTGGACTTATTAGCATGTGAAACAAATAAACATTCTCTTCTCCTTGAAACCTCATCTCCCTTTGGCTACTAGGACCCAAATCTACACTCTTTAGGTCATTTCTTTCTTTTTTTTCCCTCAGTGGTCTTCTTGTTGTCTTCACCTTGTATCCTTGTTTCTCCCAGGGCTCTGTCTGTGGACCTCTCCTCTTCTTTATGGCTTCATCTCCTATCAAACTTTGATGTGGATGTCCCCCAAACCTCTTTATCTCCTGAACTCTTCTGAGCTCCAGACTTTTGCCCCATACTTATCTTCTTCACTGGGACATCTTAGAGGCACCTTAAGCTTATAGTAACCAAAATAAAGTTTGATCCCCTATGAGAAATATAATCCTGCAGAGATGGTAACTTAAGGAATTGGTGATTCAATTATATATATTGCTCAAGACAACCACACTAGAGTCCTATTTGGTGTCTATGAGCATGTCTGTACATGCATGGGGACATCTATGGATATTTATGACATCTATGACATCTGTGGACACCCGTGACATCTATGGAGTCATCTTTGGCATCTATCACACCCATAAGGTAGAAGCAGTGAACTACCTTTGCTCATACCACACACATACTCTACCATTCCATTAGCAACTCCTGATCCATCATGGTTACCCATTGGATTAAGTACGTCTTATGGACTGAATTCTGTCCCCTTGGATTTGTATGTTGAAGCTCTAACACCCAGTGCTGTATTTGGGGATGGAGCCTTTAAATAAGTATTTAGGTTTAAGTGAGGTCATTAAGGTAGGGCCCAAAATGACTTATGTCCTTATAAGAAGAAGAGACACTGGAGATGTGTGTGTATAGAGTAAAAGCCACGTAAGGACATAGAGAGAAGGCAGTCATCTGCAAGCCAAGGAGAGAGTTTTCAGGAGAAACTAACCCTGCTGTCATTTGATCTTGGACTTCCAGCCTTCAGAATTATAAAAAACATATATGTTTCTGTAGTTTAAGCCACTCAGTCTATGATATCTTGTTATGGGAGCCTGCATTATCCTTTGCTTGGATTATTTGAGTTTCTTCCTTATTTGGTGTCTTCTTTTCCTAGACTGATATAGGTATTCTCAGCACAGCAGACAGGGCAATCCTATTAAAATGAGCATCAATTTATGTCTGTGAAATAATAAAAGATATATATGTATCAAAAGATTAGATAGATAGATAGATAGATAGATAGATAGATAGATAGATCTAGTTCCTGCACAGATTTCTTAAAACTTTTATAACGTTTTAAGTTATAAGAGTGCTAGGAGCATCTTCTGGTCTAATGTTTGGTCTTTGACCCTGGTTCCTGACACAGAATACCTAAATCCCTTGGGATTTCCTGGGTAACAGCAGTGTCTTTTGTTCTAATGATGTAAATCTTGCTTGGCTCCTGGATAGAGGCTGGTCGCAGAAAGACCACCAAGCCATGGTTCAAAGCGTGGAAATTTTAGGCCCATGTCCTCATCCCCCAGGAAGGAGAGAAGAGCCAGAAATAGAGGTAATGATCAATCATGACTATGTCCATAAAAATCCCAATAGTATGGGGTGGTAGTTAGGGAGCTTCTGGGTTGGTGAATTTGTGGAGAGTGCCATACCTGGAAAGGACTTGGAAGCTCCATGCATCTCTTCCATCTGGATGTTGATCTGTATCCTTCATCCTATCCTTTTATAATAAACTGGTACACACTAAATGAAATGCCTTTCTGAGTTCTTTGGGCCGCTCTGACAAAGTAATTAAACTGAGGAAGGGGATTGTGGGAACCTCTGATTTATAGCCAGTTGGTTAGAAGCACAGGTAACAACCTGAGCTTGTGGCTGGTGTCTGAAGGGGAGTGGGGCTGTCCTGTGGGTTGAGCCCTCATCTGTGAGATGTGATACTATCTCCAGATGTGTAGTGTCATAATTGTGTTGAGTTGCACAGTAAGTCATCCAGATGGTGTCAGAGACAACTATTTGGTGTGGAGAAAACCACAAACACATTTAGTGACCAAAGAGTCAAAAGTCAAGTATCTTGGATGAGTAATAGTTCTGTGTGGTTTTTCTTTACATTATCACTCCTCTCAAAATACATATATAATTATGGTGAACTGCAGGGCCCTGTGTTATCTGCAACCCTCATGCATCTCCATCTTCGTTTCCTACCCACCATTACCCACTGCCCACCCCCACACAGCTCTTCTCAAGCACACCGCCCAACTTGCTGTTTCTCCCACACACCAGGCATGCCCCAACCTCAGAACCCCCAAACTTTTTTTTAGAGCTTTAGTCATACTCTCAGGTCATGCTGTACTCCCTCACTTCTTGCAGGTGTCTTCTCAAAACTGTGCCAGGACTGACATCTCTCATTCTTCCATCTAAAGCCCCTCCATAGCACTATTTCTTGACAATTTCTTGCATATTTTCACTACTTATCTGTTCACTGTTTTCTACACATCCCCCCCCGCCCCAAATAAATGTAAGTCCTCAACAGCAGGGACATTTTATATTTGTAACATATGTATTTGTAAAAACACAGATACTACCCAAGCACCCAGAACAATCGACAAGTGGGAGATATTTGCAAAAGGAATGAATGAAGGTGTAGTGATTGCAGATCATGTGCTTAGAAACCTCAGTGGTGTCCACCTTAGTCAGAGTTTTAATAGATGAAAGTCAGAGCTTGGAGATGAGCAGGAGTAGGGCAGATTGACAAACACACATAAGAAGGCGAGCACAGCCAAGCAATAACTCTGAGATGCAAAAAGCTCACTGTGCTTGGGCAAGTGAGTGTCAGAGGGAGAGAAGCATTGAAGGGCACTCTGGGTTTCCTGCCCCAAATGTCAGACCAGGTTGTGTGGGCAACTGACTTTCAACAGTGTGGAGAGGCCAGTGCTTTTCAGACTTGTGCATGTGGGACAAAGGTTCTTCCTGGAGGTGGTGCTAAGGTGCCGGGGAGGAGAAGCATGGAGGGCTGCAGCAGAGTAAGGACTAAGAGGGGAGCTCAGCTCAAAGGGAGTGGATGCATTACGCTGTACTGAGAAGAAGCACAGGCCTCAAACACATTGATGTGAGAAGTGCCGGGTTGGCGCAGGACAGAGGTAGGTCGCTGACAGGGTGACAAGTGCCATCAGGGAGGTGGATGACCAGCAAGAAGAGTGTGTTTAGGAGTGTATTAACCATATGTTTTCAATGCTTTGGCATCTGGAGCCTTGCTAATCCTAGAAGAACTGCCCCCGTCAGGACTGGCCAATCTCTAGCGATGGTGAAGGACTTGCCTTGCAAGCATCTCTTTCATATGCAAACCAATCCACCCAAATTTCATACCCCAAACCCTCCTTTATCCAGCTCTTACATTCTGGGTCACTATTCTTCCACCTAAACACCCAGGGGCCAGGTACCAAACAACTAGGGACAGCCCCAATACCCCAGAGCTTACTGAAGTGATTCAAACTAGCCAATCCTAAACCTATTTACGCCGTCTCACCATACCTTTCCTGTGGAAACCCCAATAAAGGCTCCCATGCATGTCTCCCTATGCCCCCTCTATGCCCTGTCCATGTGGTCTTGTACGTGATCGTGTGCCCTTCTTCCTGGGAACTTGAGTAACAGAGTGCCTTTTCAGTGGCAATCACCTCTTGATCTACTGGCCTCAGACACCTGAATAACAAAACCTACATTTTCAAATAAGCAGGAAGGTGATGAGCTCACTTCTGGATGTGCTGAATGGAGCATGGCTGTGTGCCACCCCAGGAGTTGCAGAGGACAGTCTGCACACCAGGATGTCCACATCACTCACCAGGGGAGCTGGCTCTACAGCTGAGTGGATGGCGTCCATGCCCACTGCTCTCTGGGATGCTGTCTTCCTACAGGTCTTCACTCTGGTGGGAGAACCAGGGTCTCTGACATAGGGTCACTCTCTTAAGGCTGGAGTGAGCAACTACGGCAGGTCAAGGATGGGGTGAGCCCAGGAGCCTTCATATCAAGACTTTGTAACAAGGTGGGGCGCCTGGGTGGCTCAGTCGGTTAAGCGACCGGCTTTGGCTCAGGTCATGATCTCACAGTTCGTGGGTTGGAGCCCCGCGTTGGGCTCTGTGCTGACAGCTCAAAGCCTGGAGTCTGTTTCAGATTCTGTGTCTCCCTCTCTCTCTGACCCTCCCCTGCTCACGCTGTCTCTCTCTCTCAGAAATAAATAAAACATTAAAAAAAAATTAAGACTTTATAACAAGATGCCCTGGCTCCTGGACCTCTGGGACCAGGCCTGGGAACACATTCATGCCTGGCTCAATGGTATCAGCTGGATTCTTACCACGAATCCACCTTTTGCCCACATCAACCCAGCTCACCCAAAGAAGATGAGGCAGAGGCAGAGAACAAGCAGTGTGGTGATACCAGCTCCCCAAATGGCACCTTTAATCATTCCTGCTCTGGTCTCCAGTTTCCCTGTAGACAGAGACACTTGGGGTGAACTCTAATCTTGACAAGCATGCATGAGTCCCCTCCTCTCCAGCATACTGAGGGGGGTGCCCCTTGCCTCCCATACGGGGTTCAGCCCCAAAGGTCTCCCACCCACTGTAGGACCTCAGCCTCCACTGGAAAGACATGGTCTATGTGATACCATCTGGCCCTCACACTCCTATTCAGCTAATACCATTTCTTCTGGGACCCAGTTTCTTCTCCATCCAGGGTCTCTCTGCAACAGATCCCAGACTTATCTGCAGCAGGACCGTGGGGCTCTGGGCCCTGTGGGCATTCCAGAGAGAGAGAGAGAGAGAGAGAGAGAGAGAGAGACATATGCACAGAGCACTGTGGGATGTGGAGAGAACTTGTCCTTCCTTCTCTCCAGGGAGGGTATGTGAATCTCCTCTCCTGGCCTCTGCTGACTCTGTCACTCAGGGTCAAAAGTGGACTCTTATGCTTCCAGAAGTGGGAGGAAGCAGCCCTGTCTACTGTGAGCCCAATACACCCAGGGTGAGGGATGTGTCTATGGGTACCACCTGTCAACCATTTGGTGGGGACTGAAAGAGTCTAAAAGGAGCTCACTGCTCAGGTGGGAACCAGATGTCACTACCAATGGGAATAGAACAGATGGGGAAAGTCTGGGCTCAGAGAGAGGTCGAGGTGAGAGCTGAGGATTCACAGTCAAGAAATGTCCTAGAGACATTTGGGGACAGTGAAACTACTCTGCCACTAGATGGATACATGTGATTATAAATTGTCCGATGCACAACATGGACAACACCAAGAATGAACCCTAATGTCAACTATGGAGTTTTGGTGATAAAGGCAAGTCAATGTAGGTTTGATTGTAAGAAAGGTACCCTCTGGTGGGGGCGCTGATAGTAGAAAGGCTACATGTAAAAGGAGGGGGTTTGGGGAAATCTCTCTACCTTCAGCTCAATTTTGCTGTGAACCTAAAACTCCCTCTCTAAAAATAAAGTCTCCTAAAGATGCTCTAGGCCTTCAGGGACTGAAGGAAAATAAAGAATATATTCAAGATGGTGGGGAGAAAATAGCAAGTCATTCTGGCAAGACCAGAGTAGGAGGGGATGCGAAACGAGGGCTGAGGAGGTTTCTCATGTCTAACAACAGCCCACCACATATCCACCCATTGACGCTGAAAGTCTGGCTCTGATTGAAACAGAGAGACCCCAGCTCGTCAGCACTCCCTGGATGCGAGGCTCCTTCCCACCTGTGCCATCCACTAGGCAGACACCAGCTGTAGAGTTCTGTGTGGCACCTAGGATGGGAGGACAGGATTTGCCTCTTTAGTGAGGTGGGGTGATGTGAGATACATACAGACCTCTCCCCATCCCCAGAAGCCACAGAACACAAGAGAGACAGAGCTTGGGTCCTTCTAGGCCCCCTACTCAGCCAGACCTCCAGGATTAAAGCACCAGCATCAGCATCCAGACCTGAATTGCCCACCTGTCACCCCCTCAGGCACCCAGGTCATCCTGGCCCCACACTCACAGGTGACATTGAGCTGGATGGTCTTTGCCACCATCACACCAGCTGCAGGGAACAGCACCTGACAGGTGAGGTTGGTGCCGTGGTCCTGGGGCCGTGGGGTGAGGGTAAGCATGGAGGAGAGGTGGTTCCTGGGGCCCAGGGAGGTGGGGGCTGCTGATGTCCAGGAGAAGATGGGGGGTGTGCCCCGCTTACAGGCCCAGGGCACAGAGCAGGTCAGGTTCCAGGGGCGTCCAGACTCCAGGGTCTCAGGGATGAGGATGTCAGGTGTATGGGTGAGAGCTGGTGAGGAGAGGGGAAGACACAGATCAGGAGAAGGGTCTGAGGTGCTGCCCTGAGAGAAATCTCAGGCTTTGGTCCAGGATGTCCTGGGACCCCTGTTCTTCCCCTGTGGCCTCTCCCGCAGTCTGTTCCTTACCCGTCACACGCACGGAGATCTGGTTCTGTAGGTAACTATGTCTCACACGAGGCCCTCTCTCCACCCTAAAGAAGTATGTCCCCGAGTCCCTTCTCTGTGCGTCTCTGATGTCCAGGGAGCAGTTACGGTCCTCGAGGTCACCAAGGAGGCGGAATCGACCTTGGGTATCCAGTTGCACTTTTCGATCTGGGTTGTTTGTGGCCACTAGAGGATCCTGCCTTCTATTTGTCCCCTTCTGGAACCAGTAGCCGTGAAGAAAATAAAACCCGTAGTACATGGGGTAAAAGAATTGGCAGGGTACGTACAAACACAGACCCTCTTGCACTGTCATAGACTCCTCCACTCGCAGCGAATAACTCCTGTCCTGCGTCTGGAACCCTGTGAAGAAGGTAGAATCAGCAGAAGCTTCTGGCTTCCCTCTCCCCTTGGCACACTCACCGGCCCACAGCAGGGACAGCAGCAGCAGCAGCAGCAGCAGCATCTTAAAGACAGAGGGTGTCCGGGCTTCCTGTGGGTGAAGGAGAAGGGGAGGCAGAGGGAGGGGGGCTGAGGAGGACCCACGGGAAGCTGGGAGGAGCATGAAGCTGCACGATTTCGCAAAACAGGAACAACAGCTGCGGAGCTCCCTCCCTCTCTTCACAGAGTCAGTGACCCCCACGCTCTCTGCCCAGGACCTGGGAGACTCACTCAGGGAGGAGAGACCATGAGTAGAACCTGTGTCCTACCTCCCATCTCCACGCTTCCCTCAAGCACCAGAGCCTGGACCAGGACCTCTGAGAACATGTGAGGTGTGGGACACAGTGAGCCCCCTAAGATCCTTACATCTGAGGTGCTTGTCTGAGCAGCCTTGTCTACACCAGGGAGCTAGTCAACTCCTGTCTACATATGGAGGGTCACAGGCTCACCTAGACCTTCGAGTGTTTGGTCCTGCAAAAGGGAGGATTCTTTAGGTCTGTGTGAGTGTCCTGGGTGAAGTGAAGGCAGGAGCCATTCGTTGACGCATTGATTCATTCTCCAAATGCTTAGTGAACATGTCTCTGTGTTGGGGGACCTGAAGACAAGACACGGGCTGACCTGGTCCATCCTGTGACACGGTGTCCACCCTAGGTGCCACTTGCTCTGCAGATATACTGTGCTTTCACTTTGTCCCTGCTAGTATCATAAGCTGCAGGCACTTAGGACTTTGCATGTCTCTTCTGGCCTCCTGGTTATTTTTTAAGTATACAACGATGGGGCCATCTTTTATTGTACTTCAAGGATGCTGATTCATGAAGTTTCAGTGGTATCTCCAAATGGAAAACCATGGAACATCTTCATGTAGAACAAAAGGGAGAACACACGTGCATGAGCCAGTGGACACTCTTTTCCATGAATGCTGTCTATACAGTGTATATTTGGACAGAAGCAATTTACTAGGTCCTCACCACACAGATTAGCATTTCCTGTCACATAAAAAATCTGGTTCTCATGGTGAAATGTGGATCAAAACACATAATATTCCAGAAAACAGGAGTGGAATGAATACACAGCTGCGATTAAAAGTTTAAGTTCTGCTCATGTGGTTTTCTCTCTCACTCTGTGGAGTAAACATCTGGCAAATCCTTGATGCCTCTGTTTACAATATGCATATATAATAGCATTTGCTATCATCCATTTGCAAAATCTTTGAAACATATGTGTAAATCAATGTTCTATACACATTACTACCATGGAGAGAATTTTGCCACTTATCTGATAACTGAGGAATTGAATCTCCAATAAGTGAAATCACACCTTATGCTGGATTTTTTAGCCCTTATTCTAGATTATTAAAAATGTATGAGGGAGCCTGGGTGGCTCAGCTGGTTAAGCATCTGCCTTCGGCTCGGGTCATGACCTCATGGTTTCTGAGTTCAAGCCCCACATCAGGCTCTGTGCTAACAGCTCAGAGCCTGGAGCCTACTTCAGATTCTGTTTCACCCTCTTTCTGCCCCTTCCATGCTCATGCTTTGTCTCTCACTGTCTCTCAATAATAAATAAACGTTAAAAATTTAAATAAATAAATAAATGTATGATTGTGGCACATAATGGAAAACCCAATGCAGTTGGTTTTACAGTAAAGAGAGCTATACCATTTTCATAGACTGGGAAGATCCGTGAGTTCTCATTATGTTTCTTTAATGAACTCTGTACTTTTAAAAATTTCTAACGTTTATTTATTATTGAGACAGAGAGAAACAGAACATGAGTAGAGGAGGGGCAGAGAGAGAAGGAGACACAGAACCTGAAGCAGGCTCCTGGCTCTGAGCTGTCAACTCTGTCCTTTTTATAAGATAAAATGCAACCACTTCAAGTGTGCCTTTCTATGAATCCTGACAAATGTATACCTCCACAATCAGAACATGAATGTAACCACCACCTCAAATGGGTTTCTGGCACCACTGCACAGCTTATCACAGCCACCTCCAGCCCCAGGGAACCATTGATCTGTTCCCTTCGTGGTGAATTAATTTTGCCTACTGGAGAGTTTCTTAGAAACATACAATTTGTGTCTTTGGTATTCTCTCATTCAGCAAAATAATTTTGAAATTGATTCAAGTTGCATTTGTAGTTCATAACCTATTATTAATACATATTATGCCACTCATGGGTATACTGTAATCTTTTATTTTATTTTATTTTATTTTTTCAACTCTTTTTTTTTTTTACAAATAGTTTATTGTCAAATTAGTTTCCACATAACACTCAGTGCTCATCCCCAAAGTGCCCTCCTCCATGCCCCTCCCCCCCTCCCCCCCACATCCATCAGTCCTCAGTTTTTGTCAGCATTCAAGAGTCTCTCATGGTTTGCCTCTTTTTTTTAAATGTTTTTTTTTTTTTTCACATTTGGAAATAGAATCTTTATTTTTTTTTTTCTATTTGGGGTACATTTTATTTTATTTTATTTTATTTTATTTTTTACAAATAGTTTATTATTTATTTCTAGGAGAGAGAGAGACAGCGTGAGCAGGGGAGGGTCAGAGAGAGAGAGGGAGTCACAGACAGACACAGGCTCCAGGCTCTGAGCTGGCAGTCAGCACAGAGCCCGACGCAGGGCCCGAACCCACGAACCACGAGATTATGACCTAAGCGAAAGTCGGACGCTTAACCAACTAAGCCACCCAGGCGCCCCTCAACTCTTGATAGTAGAGATTTTCAAGTTTGGCTACATAGAGGAAGGTGAAACCATTTTGTGGACATATTTCCACCCCCATGAATATATAAAAGTAACTTGTGAGACTAACATAATAATGTGTATCAACTATACTTCAATAACAAAATAGACATAAAAACTGCTTAAAGAGAAAAAAGACTCCCTCCCCAAAAGTGTCATTATTAGGTCAAAGAGTCATTGCGTGTTACACACTAGCAGGACTTGCTACGTTACTTTCCATAATGGTTTTAACCTTTACTACTCCTATCCACAATATTCCAGAATTCTGGCACCTCCACACTCTTATTAATACTTGGTATTGTCAGTCTTTGAAATTTTAACAATTTTAGCAGAAGTGTAGTAATATCTCATTGTGTTTTTTAATTATTATTTGTTGTTATTTATTTACTTTTAAAAGAGAAAGTGTGTGTCCAGGGAAAGGGCAGAGAGAAAAAGGAGAGAGAATCACAAGCAGGCTCTACAAGTTCAGCAAAGAGCCTGATGTGAGCCTTGAACTCATGAACTGTGAGATCATGGCCTGAGTTGAAATCAAGAATCGAACACTTAACCGACTGGCTACCCAGGGGCCTCTTTAACTCTTTTTTTTTTTAATGTTTTTATTTATTTCTGAGAGAGAGAGAGCCAGCGTGAGCAAGGGAGGGTCAGAGAGAGAGGGAGACACAGAATCTGAAACAGGCTCCAGGAGCTGAGCTGTCAGCACAGAGCCCCATGCGGGGCTCGAACCTACAAACTGTGAGATCATGACCTGAGCCAAAGCCAGTCACTTAACCGACTGAGCCACCCAGGCGCCCCTAATTCTTAATGCATTTTAAACTTAGACACAGTGAGATTTCACTTGTTATCATGTATCATTCTGTAAAATTTGACTGATATATAGACGTATGTAACCATAACCACAGTCAAGGTACTGAAGAGTGCCATTCCCTAAGATGTTCTTTCCTCCCATTGCTTGGTGGCCAAGTCCTCCCTCCACCCTCAATATCTGCAAAAATGCTGGTCTGTTCTCCATCCCTCTTGTTTTGCTGTTCAAGGGATGTCATAGAAACAGAATCATATAAGAGTTTGGCTTCATTCACTTGGCCTAATGCACGAGAGGGTCCTGCATATTGTTGGGTGTGTATGCCAATAATGAGTACAATCTTGTATACATTTACCCCTGGGAGACCATTGGGGTTGTTCCCTGTTTGGGGATTGAAAATGAATAAACTGTCAATATCCACATGCAGATTTTTGTGGGAACGTGTTTTTGTTTCTGTTGGGTAAATATCTCGGCATCAGGCTCCTCAGTCCCACAAGAGGTGTAGGTTGGACTGGACACAGATGACAAACTGTTCACCCAAGTTTCTGTACTATTTGGTGTTTCCACCAGCAACGTGTGTGGTGAGTCCTGGTTGCTCCACACTCGTTCATATTGGGTATTACCAGGATTTTCCTCTTATCTTCATTTGGATTCTTTAGCCTTTGTAAGAGGAGTGCACTGGCATCTCATCCCGGTTTTAATCTGTGATTTCCTGAGAACAGGCAAGGTTGGGTATGTTTTTATGTGCTCGTTCACCATCCATTTTCCTGCTTTGGTGAAGTGATTGATTGAACTTTGACTGCTTTGTTTTTACTGAAGTGAAATATGCGTAACAGAACTTCTATCCTTTGAACCATTTTAATTGTTCAGATCAGTGGCATTAGACACATTCATATTGTAGTGCGCCCACCACCATCACCATCCATCTCTACAACCTTTTTCATCATCCCAAGGTGACATTTTGTGCCAGTTAAATTAGCAAGCCTCCATTCCCCCACCCATCCCCTGGCCTTCCCAATTCATCATTGTATTTTCTGTGTCTGTGAACTTGCTTCCTCTAGATACTTGGTGTAATGGAATAATATAGTATTTGTCCTTTTGTGACTGGCTTATTTCACTTACAGTGATGTCTTCAATCCACATTGTAGAATGTGTCAAACGTTCATTCTTTTTAAGACGGTGTAATATATTTCACCTTTTGCTTTTGTGTTGATCTTTTATTAGACCCTTGGGTTGCTTCCTCCATTTTAGCTCTCATGAATCAGGCTGTTGTGGATATGGATGTAGAAATATCTATTCAAGTTCCTGCTTTTGATCCTATGTGTATATACCCAGACACAAAGTTCCTGGATCCTATGGTAACTCAATACTTAATTTCTTGAGGAACTGCCATACTGAATTCCACAGCAAATGCACCATTTGCTGTCTCAAGAGCAAAACACAGGACTTCCACTTTCAATGCATCCTTGCCAACACTTGTGATTTCCTGCTT